CTGCAGGCACAAAATATACAAACACCAAGGGCTTAGTGACAAAGCACAAAATATCCTGACAGCTGAGGACAGCTGGTGGTTGCAGGAGGCTCCCTGGAACATGGAAACCCCTGTGTGAGCAGGAAGTGCTGTCACCATTCCAGGCTGAGCCTCCTGAACCCTAGTGTGTTTTGTTTTCCAAAGAACCTTTCAGTTAAGATGTCCCTTCTGATTCCTGCCTCCTTTACTGCCCTGGGTTGGGCAGTGAGACTTAGAAGGGTTTGCAAGGATCCCCTCCCCAATTTTGTTTGTTCCTTAAGCCTGGAATCATTTAAGTAGGCGTTTAGCATCCCCTATTCTGAAACCCAGATTGGCTCACCAGAGTCCTGCAAGGCTAAGAAACCTGGGGAAATGGGCTAGGTGCGGTGGCTCACACCTGTAATCGCAGCACTTCGGGAGGCCGAGGTGGGTGGATCATGAGGTCAGGAGTTCAAGACCAGCCTGGCCAAGATGGTGAAACCCCATCTCTAATAAAATATGAAAATTAGCCAGGCATGGTGGCGTGCACCTGTAATTCCAGCTACTCGGGAGGCTGAGACAGGAGAATTGCTTGAACCTGGGAGGCAGAGGTTGCAGTGAGCTGAGATCGTGCCATTGCAGTCAAGCCTGGGTGACAGAGCAAGACTCTGTCTCAAAAAAAAAAAAACAAAAACAAAAACAAAAAAACAGAAAAGAAACCTAGGGAAACGGGACTGATAATAACCTCCAGCCCTCATTTTTTTGTTCCCTGCTCTATTTCTATCAGAGAACTCACTCCAAAATCTGTTGAGGTTTAGGGTCTGTTTAGAAAGGAAGAAATCTGATGGGAAACCCCATAAGCGCAGGTGACATGAGCCAGATGGGGTCTTCCTAACACCTCTGTCTGGCTGTGCCTGACTCAGCAGTGGAGTATCCTTTTCCCCCATTTATCAATGTATTTTAGACTGTGTTGGTTCTGTTTATTTCTTTCTCTGAGGAGATTTTTAAAAATAAATCACATGTGCTTGGTACCTGTAAGCACAAAGCATTATCATTGACACTACATCTTACTGATTTCTTAGTAAGGGCTAAGAAATGCCCTTTTTTTATGCCCCCAGTTTCTCATTGGCTCTTTACAACAAATATAAGGAAGAGAAGCTTACTAATTCCGTTTTACAAAGGGTGATCGGAGAATAATCCCTTTGTAAAGGATTCCTCCGTATTATAGAGTTAGTCATTGGAAAATCTAGGATTCAAGCCCAAATTCTCTGCTTTCAAAGCCCTACTGTGCTGAGCCAGAGAGGGTGTGGAGTCACCATGTTACGCCCAAAAAACATAAGCCAGCTACTAGGCCTTTATATTCCCTCCATCAAGATATTGTGTGATTCTCTGAATCTCCAGCTTGTCCACACCATAAAACGCCATTGGCTTAGCTAGCTAGAGCCTACTACAACCCATCATATGACCATTCAGCTTCCGCCCCCAGGTCATGGTGCAGGGACATCCTAAATATATTGTAGCACTCAATAATTGATAAATTACCTTCATGGAAATGTTGGAAACAGGAAGGGAAGTATTAGTTCCATTCTGTGATGAAGAGAGAGCTCTACTGAGTCAGTGAATGGTTTAACTAGGACTAGAGGCCTGGGTCATTCCAGAACCTGTTCCATGATACAGTCTCATGAAAAATACCCACGTGTGCATTATGATAAATCCTATGCAAATATAAGGTGCTGGCAGGCAGGGAAGATAGTTCTTCAGTGGGACTACTTTCCCAAAGTGAGGACTTGTCACCTGACTCACGTCCCCGTACATCCCAATGATGTGCGGTGACAACTCTGTATTTCCTGCCCCTTGTCGTCTTACTCTAAGAGAGAGCAGTGGTCCAGCCTGGGTAACATGGTGAAACCCATCTCTAAGAAATTACAATAATTAGCCAGGCATGGTGGCATGTGCATGTAGTCCAAGCTACTCAGGAGGCTGAGATGGGAGGATCACTAAACCCGGGAAGTCGAGGCTTCAGTGAGCCATGATCATGCCACTGCACTCCAGCCTGGGTGACAGAGCAAGACCCTGAAAAAAAAAAAAAAAGAAAAAAGCAGTGGAGATCATCATCTCAGGTTCTATCCCCAGATTCTGCAGGCTCCTTACCTCCTACCACCGGGTGGCACAGAAAAGGCAGAAGGAGGCCTTGGGTGTCCTGCTTATTGATTTCTAGGCCCTTTGCTTCACAGAGATTCTTCCTGACCCCTGGCTTCTTGCTTTCACCTTGATTCAACTATAAAAAGATCTGAAAGCCAAATTGTTCTCAGTTTTCAGCAGAGGCATAGGAAATCTTTGCCATCTAGACTGGCCTTAGGTATCCATGCAGAAATGTCTGCTGGAGTCAGATTTTTTTTATTAATTCTACATTAGTATTGCTCCTGTCTTAAGAAACAGCAGCAGTGCTTAGATTCTGGCTGCTGTTTCTTTATACAATAAAACAATGAGCAGAAGCTTATGAACTGCTGCTATAACCTTCTGGTTGAATCCCCATCTGTGAGTAGATTTCCCCTTCTTGGCCACATACTGAGCAATTTTATTATTTCTGTCTTCAGGTTGAGTTTTATCTAGACATTTGAACATTTACATATACCAACTTGCCTTGGAAGGTAAATGCGCTTTTAGGCTTCCAAGAGCATTGCTGCTGCCTTTGTGATTGATTTACTGTGTAAAGATTTATATTACTGTTTGAAAATGTCAGTGAACATTTGATGTGAATTCACAGTGAACATGTGATGCTGCCTTGTATGAGAAAGTCATTTCAGCTGGGAAAGTAGTGATTACATATGGCACTGTAACCTCTTTACAAAGGGAGAAGTGGCACGTTCAACTCATATTTCTCAGTTGCCGAAATTTTACAAGTGTTATTTAGCAAGTCTCACCTAGTACCTACCCCATGCCCATGTTGACACCTTCCCTTGGTAAACCAGAATATCATCAAGGAGACTGGTGTCTGAGATTACTGATGCTAGAATGTAATATTGGGGAAATATAAAGCATCCCCCACAAGCTTTGGCCCAGGCCTTTTCCACCAGGTGGAAAAGCCTTTTTTTTTTTTTTTTTTCTTTTGAGGCGGTGTCTTGCTCTCTTGCCAGGCTGGAGTAGTGCACTGGTGCAATCTCTGTTCATTGCAACCTCTGCGTCCTGGGTTCAAGCAGTTCTCCTGCCTCAGCCTCCTGAGTAGCTGGGACTACAGATGCATGCCACCATGCCCAGCTAATTTTTGTATTTTTAGTAGAGATGGGGTTTCACCATGTTGGCCAGGATGGTCTCTATCTCTTGACCTCGTGATCCTCCCGCTTCAGCCTCTCAAAGTGCTGGGATTACAGGTGTGAGCTACTGTGCCCGGCTGGGAAAGACTTCTTAAAGTAGAAGAGAACTGGGCAAGGAAGAGCAGATGGGTAGGACTTACATTTTTTTAGGGCTCCTTGTGCTGGTTACCATAGGAAATACCCCACATGCCTGCAGTCCTTACCAACTGCAACTAAGCAGTATCAGTTCCCTTCCGCAGGAGGAATGTTAAGCTCTTTGTTCTTTTCATCCTGATACATTCTGAAGCCTGCAGACCACCATTCAATGATCCACTGCAGTCCACTTTAAATACCAGGGGATGCAACTAGACTCTGTCCCAGAGTTTCGAGTGGCCTCCAAAAGCATTTCTGGATATCCTATAGGAGGTGTTTGTTTATTGATAGAAGGTTCTCAGACCCCAGATGGCTTTGGAAACAATTGGGTCCAGGAAAGAGACATCCTTTCCCTTTCCCTCCATCCCTGGTGCCTCCTTGAAGCCATCCAGTGGCGATGGAGATATACCAGCAATGGCACTAGACATGAGAAGGTCTCTGGTGATCCTAGGAAGGAAGGGCATCAGGAAGCCATCCCCATCCCAGCATGTGCTTGGTTTCATCACTCCCCATATCTCCTTAAAGCACCTAAATCCCACCATCCCACCTGCTAAAACCAAATCTCCATACCTGAACTTCTTCTGTTCTTAAATCTTGCTATACCTCTACAAGGTACATGTGACCTTTCTAGGTGAGCAGGATTTCATGGTGTAATAGTTTTGTGCGTCTGACTAGTATAGGTGGCCATTTATTTGGTAAGGAGGAAGTGAGAGTGAGCATATAATAGTCCTCATACACCTATCCCGCTGTGCAGATACATGATAGAGACAAATGCTGGCCGGGAGCATATGTTTCCTCCCAGCATGAATGTCCTGTTTCTCCCTTAATACTAGAAATGTGAGCTCTTCTCTTAGTCAGTGAAACTTTGACTGAGGATGACAGCAGCAGTGCCTCCTAAACTAGAGGAAAGGGAGCTAACCACCTTCTGAGTCTATGTAACTTAGAAGTGAGTGGATAAGGCTGGGTGTGGTGGCTCATGCCTGTAATCCCAGCACTTTGGAAGGCTGAGGCAGGTGGATCACCTGAGGTCAGGAGTTTGAGACCAGCCTGGCCAAGATGATGAAACCCCATCTCTACTAAAACTATGAAAATTAGCTGGGCGTGGTGGCAGGTACCTGTAATTCCAGCTACTTGGGAGGCTGAGGCAGGGGAATTGCTTGAACCCAGGAGGTGGAGGTTGCAGTGAACAGAGATCGTGCCATTGCACTCCAGCCTGGGTGACAAGAGTGAAACTTTGTCTCAAAAAAAAAAAAAAAAATGACTACTTTTACCAATTTCTTTCCCCCTTCTGCCTCTTTCTTCCCCATGCCACAGCAATATCAACTCTTCAGCTGCTCTCTTTACTTGTGTGCGTGGTAGGGTATGACTTTCACTTACACAAATAGAAGAGTCACTTCAGAGAGACCCACTAAATTGTAATAATTGTATAGCACAATAAAAATCCCACCCCAAGACCCTGGACCGTGGAGAGAGACCCCTTGCAGAAAGACAAGCTTTATGTCCAAAGGAAGGCCTAGAGTTTTTGACACTAATATCTGTATGTTTCTGTCCCTGCAGCCTTAGGAAAATCCAAAGGTATGGTATCCTCTGGTAGCTGTGAGGCCACGTTCAGTCTCTGAAACTGAGCCACCCATGCATCGTAGTGAGCTCCACCAGAGGGTGAATATGCCGCGTCTGGTTGCTTGGCCGACTTCTTTGAAGCTGTGTGCCCATCATTAAAATAGAATCAGAGCCCAGAGGGACCATAGGCACAGGCAGCCCCTTCCCTGCTGTGTAGACAAGCGGGAATGGCCTGCAGAGGTGTGACTTGGCCAGGATCCCAGCAGTGGTGGAGCTGGGGCTAGACTCCAAGTTACATAGAGAAGGATGCATATTTAAATGTCTCCTGCTGTCAGTTTCATGTTCCCCCCTTCTCTGCCCCTCCCACCTCATCTTGCACTTGGGAGGCGTGAGAGCCCCTGCCCCCCAGTTAGGGCCACGTACTGCTGTGAGGAAGGCTTGCAGTTGACACCCAGGGAGCTTGCCGGGCCATCATCCTCAGCCAGCGGGCTTTGGCAGGGGGTTGAAGCACAGCTTGTGGCCGCCAGCGCTGCCGACTGTGCCCTGCTCCTTGCCTCAGTGACAGGGCCGCTCTTGTCAGGCCTGGGCTGCCCAGGGCTGGGTCTCGGCCGCTGGGAGGAGCCAGGGCGCTGGGAGCACAGCCCCCATGCATCGCTTCCCGGGCCTCCGGGGTGCTAAAGCTGCGCTGCTCTTCTCCCAACGCGGACCTGCTTGAATGTTTCCGCTTGATGGGGGAGGGAGCCTGTCACCTGTCATCTGTCACGCGTGGGTAAGCGGTGTCTTTGTGTCCCTCGCCAGCATGGGCGTGAGGGTCATGGACACATCTTGGGTGGCTCGAAGAGGCTCCTCGGCCGGTCGGAAAGCGTCCTGCGCCCCGCCCTCCATGCAGCCTCCCGCCCCGCCCGCCGAGCTGGCTGCGCCCCTGCCTTCGCCGCTGCCGGAGCAGCCCCTGGACAGTCCCGCGGCCCCCGCGCTCTCTCCATCCGGCCTGGGCCTCCAGCCCGGGCCCGAGCGCACCAGGTAAGCGCGGGCCACTGCTGTCCGGGCGGGCTGGTGGGCGATGCAGGGGGTGTCTGGGTTTGCGGCTCTGGAAACCTCGTGGATTTTGTCATTTCCCACGCTCCCGCCCCGGTTTCTAAGCATTCACGTTTGGCTTATGCATCACGCTGGCACCAAGTAAGTCATCACAGCTGCCTGGATTATCACACAAAGCCCAGGCTTCCCCAGCAAATCATCGCAAGCAAGCAGAAGGTGGCAGCTTGCGAAGGCGGGGTGAGGAGTCTTAGGGTTCCCAACTCTCTGTTTTCTCCTTCCTCTGTCTTTGTCGTTACAGTAGCCCCCCATATCCGTGGGGGATTTGTTCCAAGACCCCCAGCGGATGCCTGAAACAGTGGATAGTACCTAACTCTATATATACTGTATTTTTTTTCTCATACACGCATACTATGATAAAGTTTAATTTACAAATTAGGCTCAGTAAGACGTGAGCAATAACTAGTAATAAAATAGAAGAATTATAACCATATGCTGTAATACAATTATGTGAATGTGGTGCCTTTCAAAAAACTTTTTTTTTTTTTTTTTTTTTTTGGAGACGGAGGAGTCTTGCTCTGTTGCCCAGGCTGGAGTGCAGTGGCACCATCTGGACTCACTGCAACCTCCGTCTCCCGGGTTCAAGTGATTCTACTGCCTCAGCCTCCCAACTAGCTGGGATTACAGGCAAGTGCCACCACACCAGGCTATTTTTTGTATTTTTAGTAGAGATGGGGTTTCACTATGTTGGCCAGGCTGGTATCAAACTCCTGACCTTAAGTGATTCACCTGCCTCAGCCTCCCAAAGTGCTGGGATTACAGGTGTGAGCCACCGTGCCCAGCCACAAAACACTTTATTCAACTGTAAGTACACAGTTGAATAGCACACTGTTTTTGGTTCACAACTGATCGTAGGTAACTAGAACTGCAGAAGGTAAAATCACGGATAAGGGGGCTACTTTATCCTGTTTCGAAGTTTATAATTTCTGTGTTTCTCTTCCTCCTGTTTATAGTCATAGCAGCCTTTTCCTTTTTTTTTTTCTTTTNTAAAATGGGTGCAAGTCAGGGAAGGAATGGAGGTGGCAGTCCTACTGGGCCTGGTGACCTTTGCAGCTTGCCACATGGTTGAATTTCCATTATTTTAGAAGAGGGAAAAAGGCAGGAATTCATTCCATGGTTAGCTCGGTGAACATTAACTGAGAACTTTCTCTTTTTAAAGATAAAAACATGATTGCTGCCCTTAAAAAGTTCACATTCCAGGCTGGGCAAGGTGGCTTACGCCTGTAATCCCAGCACTTTGGGAAGCCGAGGTGGGTGGATCATGAGGTCAGGAGTTCGAGAGCAGCCCGACCAACATAGTGAAACCCCATCTCTACTAAAAATACAAAAAATTAGCGGGGTGTGGTGGCGGGTACCTGTAGTCCCAGACACTCAGGAGACTGAGGCAGGAGAATCACTTGAACCTGGGAGGCGGAGGTTGCAGTGAGCCGAGACCATGCCATTGCACTCCAGCCTGGACAGCAGAGCAAGACTCCATCTCAAAAAATAATAATAAGAAATAAAATAAAAGTTCACATTCCAGTGAGCAAACAGGCCCTGATAGATATTGACAGCACTTGGCTATGTATCCCCAGGGCTGCAGGGGAGGAGACAGTACCTGGCCCTTCCTTGAAAGGGGCCTGATCATGGGAGGCAGATTCTGGAAGTGAGAATTACACTGTGAAACAACTCTGCTGTTTGTTTCTATCTTTCCTCAAACAGCAATTTCAAACACCAGAAAAGCAACATGAAATCAGGTGCCCCTGTGTCTTCTGTTAGAGAACATGGCATTCATATGTGGCCGCTGCCAGAAAAGTTTTGGAGACTTTGGGAAGCTGAATCTTCTAACCCAAACCTTTCTTCAGACACACACGCATACACATAGACACACATCCTCATACACCACACAAACATGCCCACACCAACCCCTTACATGAGAGGCTTCCAGGCTTTTTTGTTATATTTTGTTTAACAAGTAAAAAGTATTTTCACGGCCAGGCTCAGTGGCCCACACCTGTAATCCAAGCACTTTGGGAGACCGAAGCAGGCAGATCACCTGAGGTCAAGGAGTTCAAGACCAGCCTGGCCAATATGGTGAAACACCATCTCTACTAAAAATACAAAAATTAGCTGGGTAGCGCACGTCTGTAGTCCCAGCTACTCAGGAGACTGAGGCAAGAGAATTGCCTGAATCTGGGAGGCAGAGGTTTCAGTGACCTGAGATTCCTCCACTGCACTCCAGCCTGGACGACAGAGTGAGACTCTGTGTCAAAAAAAAAAAAAAAAAAAATATATATATATATATATATATATATATATATATTTTTTTTTCCACTGTGAAACTGGGAAATGACAAAGGGACAGGGGGATAGTCTTAGAGCACACAGGAGGGGGCACCTGACCCTCGGTATGCTGGGATTGTTATTGACGTCTTCAACTCAGAGGATGCTCAGTCCTGGTTGTGCATTTGCGAGGCCACAGAGGACTTGGGAGGTGCAGAAATGGGCACAGTGAGTTCAGTGGAGAAGCAGACCCTGAGAATGGGGAGCTAGGTGAGGCCTAGGACACACAGACAGGAGATGGGCTGGGACCATTTCCTTTTCGGACATTCATGGGCTTCATCCTAGTTTCCCATCTTATAAAGGAAACTCAGTGCCATATGGTATTTGGCATCTAAATGATTCCTAAAAAATGCTTCTTGAAGATGGATTCCCCCAGGGTCTGAAGGCATTCCAGGAACATTCTGGATGGGTGGCTTTGCAGAATCACTTGTGGGCAGGGATTGGCACCCGCTGGTTTAGACTATTTTAAAGGTCACTCACGTTGCTCTCCGACCAAATGTCCTTCTCCTTTGCCTGGGCTGACCGGTTTTGTAACTTTGCTTTGAATGTTTGTATTCTTTTTTGTTTTCCACCACTTTTTTTTTTTCTCTCCCCACATGGATTTCTCCCAGTACAAACAGGTGTTCCATTGTTTTTGTTTATGTTGTTGTTTCTGTTTCCTGGATGTTTGCAGCCCAGATGATGTTCCCTCCAGTGGCATGATTCCTGTTCCAGCTCCTCCTCCCCTGAGGATGGCAGGCCCCTCCTTCGCTCTGACTGGTTCCCACCCTCCCAGCCCCGACCCCAGGCCCCGCCTTCAGCTCTTTCCCTGGCTCTATCCAGCCAAGCTCTGCCTCCATATCCTGCCCAACTGCTTAGCATGAATGCTAACCCCAAAATTCTGCTTCCTGCTTCTTGGCACCAAGCTCGTGGGCTGAGTCATGCATCTTCAGAACTAACTTGTCTTCAAACGTGCCGTAAGCATGCCTTGTTCATGTAGTGTCCCTAATAGCCACCCTACATCCCACCTCTCCACATTGGGCCAGCTGCACCTATGCTGGGGAGAGAGGACAAAGTTAAGTAGGTAAATACCTGTTTCTGTGCTGGAGAAAGTGTGTCCTAGCCGGGCGCCGTGGCTCATGCCTGTAATCCCAACACTTTGGGAGGCCGAGGTAGGTGAATCATGAGGTCAGGAGATTGAGACCATCCTGGCCAACATGGTGAAACCCCATCTCTACTAAAAATACAAAAACTAGTTGGGTGCGGTGGCATGCACATGTAATCCCAGCTACTCAGGAGGCTGAGGCAGGAGAATCGCTTGAACCTGGAAGATGGAGATTGCAATGAGCAGAGATCGCGCTACTGCACTCCAGCCTGGCGACAGAGCAAGACGGAAGAAAGAACTCATTCCTAGCTTCCTTGGATAGATGTGTGTCCAAAGGAAGGCAGAAGAGTCTACCCACCCACAAGAAGCAATTTTTTCGGTTTGCTGGTTATGACATTTTTTTTTGCCTGGTTGATTGGCCTTCCTCTTGATAGTGGCAGAGGTGGAGGGAAGGGTAGTAGATATTTGGCATTGATGCCTGGATACCTGGTAACCTTGAGCCTAACGATGAATCAAAGACAACTCCTTGTCCAGCCTAAGTGAGGCAAGGATTTTCTGTTTCTGTGTTCGTTTTTCATTAACAGAATAGAGACAGGAATTATTGCTTTTTTTGGTGCCCCTGAATAAAATGGTCTTTGCCCCCTTGGGGAATAGGTATAGTGTGTGAGACTCATCCCAAAAGGGAGAGAATGTGCCTCCACATTGAATGTGGTCTTTCCTTTTTCCTTTGCATGAGGAAAGCAGCCTGTGCTTTGACACTGTCGGCTTCTCTGGCCCAGCTCCCTGCTCCTAGTCTTTCTCACCTCAGCGGACAAGAGTGCTATGTTTCTGTTGGAATTTTCTCCAAATTAACACTTGGAGTTTCTAGTTAGGAAAGAAATAGGCTGTGCCTGCCTTTTTTTTCTTTCTTCTTTCTTTCTCTCTCTCGTTTTCTTTCTTTCTCTTCTTTCTTTTTTCTTTTTCTTTCTTTTCTTTCTTTCCTTTTTTTTTTTAGACAGGATCTCACTCCATTGCCCAGGCTGGAGTGCAGTGCTGTGATCTCAGCTCACTGCAACCTCCATCTCCTGGGTTCAAGGGATTCTCCTGCCTCAGCCTCCCGAGTAGCTGGGATTACAGGCATGTGCCACCACACCCGGCTGATTTTTGTATTGTTAGTGGAGACAGGGTTTCACCAGTTGGCTAGGCTGGTTGGTCTCAAACTCCTGACCTCAGGTGACCCGCCCTCTTCGCCCTCCCAGAGTGCTGGGATTACAGGCATGAGCCATCGCGCCTGGCCCAGGCTGTGCCTGCTTTTGTGGGATAGAAACAGCTATTGCAGAGGATTTCGGTTCCCAGACTCTTCATGCCCCCCGTATGGGCATCAGAATCCAGGTAGGTTCTAGCAGGGATGACAGATAGCTCCCAGCTCTGGGGCATCTCCCCTGATTCATTAGAGGCCATCTGGAGTATTTTCTTGAAGAGGAATGAGAATGTTGTGGGAGAAGAATGGCGATCAATTAGTAATATCTACCATCAGCGTGTCGGGATGGCAAATCCCTGGTCTGTGGTGTGGAGTCAGGTGTCTTCTAATATGTGCTTCATCCTTAGGAGAAGGCTGAGGAATGGCCTTGCAGTCACGACGAATCCTCTTCAGGACCTGGTGACCTAGGGTGTCCTGTTGTCAATTTGAGAGGCCAGAGGTTTTGCCACTGACCTTCACCTATCTCTAAGCCTGGGACTGGGACTCAAACTGGCCCACAGTTAAGGGCATGGCTTGGGTCTCTGTCCACCCTCGCCTCTGCTGGAATGGGTATTGAGTTTGAGGATGAGTCCTAGAATTCCTCCTGCTTAGGGGTGCGCTGAAGGCTCAGGGCAAACAGCTAGAGAGCTGGACCACAAGCTTGGCAGCGGGAGTCCATGTCATCAACACTCATTGGGCACAGTGGCCCTAAGAAGTCCTCTTGGCTATCATAGGAAAAACACTTTGGTGTTCCAGTTTGAGAATATTCTAGAATTCCCGGGTTGATGGCAGGATACAGTGGAGGTGCCCAGGCCCCGTCTTCACATTGCTCACGGTCTCCTTGAGAAGAGGAGGGCAGACACATGAAAAGGGCGTTGGCAGTGAACGCCAAGTGCCACAGAGATGGGATGGAACCCAGGCTGTCGGAGCTCCAGGAAGGACAGTCACCTCATGGAGCATCTGCAAGGCTTTAGGAAGGGACCAAGACAGACCAGAGCTGGGACAGACTTGTACAGGGCCCGGAAGGACACACAGGGTGGCCATTAGCAAGGCTGGTGCTGCAGCTCACTGAGTTCGGGGCTTCTCTTTTGTATTGTGTGCTTGTGTTTCAGCGCATCAAAAAGCAAGGAACTTTCTCCAGGGTCTACACAGAAAGGAAGTCCAGGCTCCAGCCAAGGGACAGCCTGTGCAGGGACGCAACCAGGGCCTCAGCCAGGTGCCAGCCCCAGCCCCAGCCAGCTGCCTGCAGACCAGAGTCCTCACACCCTCCGGAAAGGTATGGCCCTCCTTCCCTTCTCCTTGGTCTCAGGCTAGAGGTGGTGTTTACATTCCCAGAAGACTTGTTTTCCTCAATTCACTTGGATATTGAGAAACCGTGTGGTTTAGTGAAAAATTCCTATCTGGTCATTCGAGCTTTGGAAGTTAAAAGGGATCATTTCTGTATGATTCCTCAGTTTACTCATTTGACAGGTGGGCTCGTTAGGGGCATAGAGAGGACAGTGCTTCCCATACACCAAATGATTCAACCAGGGCAAAAATTATTGTCCACAAAGACGTGTTTTCCAGAGACCTGCCAGGTTCTACCTCTGTCATTTGAAAAGCTGTATAGGGTCATCTACAGGAGCCTCCTTCCCCCCAAGCCAGCCCTGTACAGCTGCCTACCCCTGGATCACTCGTACGAGGTGACAAAGGGACTCAGGATAGCTTCTGTAATACCTGAGTCTCAGTCGGACACCGTGGCTCTGGGAGACCAAGGCAGGTGGATCATAAGGTCAGGAGATCAAGACCATCCTGGCCAACATGGCGAAACCCTGTCTCTACTAAAAATAAAAAAATTAGCTGGGCACAGTGGCGTGCCCCTGTAGTACCAGCTACTTGGGAGGCTGAGGCAGGAAAAACACTTGAACCCAGGAGGCGGAGATTGCAGTGAGCTGAGATCTCGCCAGCCCGGTGACAGAGTGAGACTCTGGAGACTCTGTCTCAAAACAAAAAACAAAAAACAAAAACTGAGCCTCAACACTGAATACTTCTGGTTTGGAAGGCCTGAGAATAGCTACACTGCCCAGTTATTACCTTCTCTTCAGATAATCACTCTCAAAAGCTAAAGGTATGCTCCATGGTGACATTGCATAAATGAGGCGCTGTACTGAGTGTATTTATCTGAACCTTTTTGGTTTGTTCTTACCTGTGTCATCTCTTCGCAGTTTTCACTCGTCTAAAATAATACATCATTGCACGTGTTCCAAATTCAGGCCACTTCCATGTCTAGAAGCAGCTTTAACTCTGGGATTTGTGGAATAGGGCTGGGTTTAGCTCACCCACCAGTGCCTTCATGACAGGCCCTTTTCCAGCCCCCTTAGCGCTGGTCGTCGGGCAGTTTCATTCTCTTTCTCTGCCTTCAACAAGCCCGCGATCTTATTTGATTCCCACTCATTCCTTCTGCATTCTATACATATTTACTGAGCCCTGCTATGCTTTCCAGAAAGGAAGGCAGCGATAACGCAAAGGTGTTGATACTGTGCTGGGAGACACTCAGGGTACTGTGAGGACGCCTGGGGGCATGATTTCCAGACCCAGGAGTTAGGACGGGTGACCCAGAAGAAAGGACATTGTGAAGGTTGAATCGGAGTTGGGCCAAAGTGGTGGGGGCGAGATTTCAGCATTTCAGAGCATTTCTCCAGCACCAATGCTTTCTACTTGGTCTAGATGCCATATTCCTGGGCACGTCTTCATTTTGAAGGGTACTTTAACTGGCTGGGCGCAGTGGCTCACACCTATAATCCTAGCACTTTTGGAGGCTGAGGCGGGTAGATTGCCTGAGTTCAGGAGTCCAAAACCAGCCTGGAAAACATGGTGAAACCCCATCTCTATTAAAATACAAAAAATCAGCTGGGCATGGTGGTGGGTGCCTATAATCCCGCTGCTCAGGAGGCTGAGGCACAAGAATTGCTTGAACCCGGGAGGCAGAGGTTGCAGTGAGCCAAGATTGTGCCACTGCACTCTAGCCTGGGCAGCAAAGCGAAACTCTGTCTCAAAAAAAAAAAAAAAAAAAAAAAGGCCAGGGTCAGTGGCTCCCACTTATAATCCCAGCACTTTGGGAGGCCGAGTTAGGCAGATCAACTGAGGAGTGACAACACCAGCCTGACCAACATGGAGAAACACTGTCTCTACTAAAAAAGAAAATACAAAATTAGCCAGGTGTGGTGGCGCATGCCTGTAAGCCCAGATACTCAGGAGGCTGAGGCAGGAGAATCATTGGAAACTGGGAGGTGGAGGTTGCGATGAGCTGAGATCACACCATTGCACTCCAGCCTGGGCAACAAGAGCAGAACTCCATCTCAAAAACAAAGAAAGAAATTAAAAAGAAAAAAGAATCTTTTAACTTACCCCACAGCACTGCAATACAGAGGTGATGGCTAAGTCATTACCTTGCCCAGTGGGAGGGCCAGGGTTCCTGTAGCAGCCAGCCAGCCTCCTAATGCCAGTGACAGGTTGACCCTTTTAGTTTTTGCAGCACATTGGACATATACAGGCAGTATGGCCTAGAGTGACTCAGGTCCCTTTCCCAAGTGACCTTCAGTGGCCCGAACCCATCTTTTGAAAAGTATAAATTTCTTCTCTACTCCCCATCATGCCCACAGATGGCATACTTAGCTAGTCTTTTTTTTTTTTTTTTTTTAACACCTCAGTCTTTTGACAACGTGCCTACAATTTCACATCCTATTCCTATCACCACCGGAAGTGGTAAATGTCATCACAGACATGGTGATGCATCCTCCTCCCCCAGCTCCTTCATGAGAAGGCATGCACAAGTGCTGATACCTAGGGTCTCCACCTGCTTCTCATCCAGGGGTACCCCTCCATCTGTCACCCATGACCATGTGGCTGTCATGAGCTACAGTAGCAGCTGCTGGAAACACTTCCCCTGTACTCAGGAAATAGGGTTGAAAAGTGAAATTGGAAAGTTAAGTGGTTTTATTATGTCATGATTAGGCAGTACTTGACATGCATAATCTCATTTAATTATTACGCTGCTGCAGAGAAAATCTTATTCCTCCGATTGCATAGAAGATGTTTGAATAAGTTGACTCGGAATAGAGCAGGTAAGAGGCAGGATAGAAATTTAAGCCCAAGTTGGCAGGATTCTGAAGGGTATGTCCTTTTTTCTCTCTTTTTTTTTTTTTTTT